CCCCAAAACCCCAAAACCCCAAAACCCCAAAACCCCAACAAAGGGAGATCTTATTGAATATAATAAATATTTTCCACCATGAATATCACAGCTGCCACAAGGTTAGCACTCAGCAAAAATTTGACTGTCAAGAACAAGTTAGTAGGAGCCTCGAAGATTAGTTTCACTAGGCTATTTTCAACAAATATGAGCAAATCTGGTATCTCACTGTAAGATATTGAACTTTAGTAGTGTTTTAAGTAATTCTCAGCTCAGGTCTAATATTTCTCTAGTGATAAAGTCCTGACTAATCCATGTGTTCTAAAATCCACAGAAACAGTTTTGAAGACAGATGTAGTATTAAGAGCTCTGCCTTACAAAGTAACTTCTCCACAGCACTCAGAGCCACCAATTCTGATCAATAATGGAAAAGAAATGACTCCAAGAGAGATTTTTGAGGAGGACTTGCAGAGCTTCACTCCTCAATTTGTATGTGTCCAGATAGATCCCATGAAGTACTCAAAGGCTAACCAACAGATAGGCAAGGTTTACATAAAGCAACAGCAGAATAAGGATGTTAAAGACGACAAAAAATTAGAAGAGAAAAATAACAAATTTATTGATAAAAAGCTCGATGGGATGCTGCATCCTGACCATGGAGACTCCTCTCTCATCAACATGGGAATTGCAGAAGGTTATTTTGATATAAAGTATCCTAAATTTGCAGGCAAATTTAGGCTAGAGAAAATCTTTGATGAGGATTTAAAGCAGATCATCCCTAAAGTTCACAAAGGTACTGCTGATGAGAAGGAATTAGACATATTTAATCAGAGGTTAAAGTCTGTGAAGCCTCTTCTAGACTTTGCCATAAATGAGTTCCATGTGTTTCCACCCAAAGGCAAAGATGTCTTCACCCCAGGCCCTTGAATATATCATGGAATGGAGGAAATTTATAAGCAGTGATTTTTCAACTTGATTGATATCTGCCTGGTAGAATACCCAGAGCCACTATCAAGACTATTTCTGCATAAAATTGCAGATCTGGACTATTATAAAGCCAAGGAAATCTATGAAGGTGTGATTACCTGTGGAGAAGAGCTATCCCAGCGTTCTCAAATGCTTGGATTCGGGTAAGAGCTAGTTTAACTTGTAGACCATTAGTAAGTAAGGCCTTTCAGAAGAGAATTATTCATGAGATTTTCCCTAATATCTGAGTCAACCCCAGAGATGAGTACATTGCATCACATATCTACCAACTGTCTGATAGAGGTTATAAGACTGTAAGCTTGTCTTTAATGTTTAGATGGTGTACCTCGGAGAAGCCAACTTTGAAGGTGTCAAGAAACTCTTAGAGGATCCTCCCAAGCATATTAAGGTAGACACCAAAGTTTAATTTTAGATCCCTAATACATTAGCAAATGCTGATATGAGTCTTTTTGAAGAAGACATTGCTCCAAAAGATCAATATGGCAATATCGAAGATGATCCAATCAAGATAGAGGAGAATAGAACGAAGATTCCAGAGAATTGGAAAGACCAAATCGAAGCTCATGCTATGCTAGAAGCTGCCTTTGGTAATGATTCCATTTAATAACTTTATAGGAACCATGGCGTGGGGAGAACCTTACCTCAAAAATCAATTTCCATACTTAAAAGTGTATAGAGAGGACATTCATGATGATATGTATATGGTAATTCCCAACATAACAGCTATAGAAATTCCAACAATACTTCAAGGAGAAATACGTCGAACACCGAAAGCCGATTGACAAGATCTTCAAATAATTGAGTTGATTCAATATTCCCACTATGGCTGGGGTTTTGGGGTTTTGGGGTTTTGGGGTTTTGGGG